TCTCTCGCTCTCTCTCTCTCTCTCTCTCTCTCTCTCTCTCTCTCTCTCTCTCTGTATGTGTGTCTGTTTATAGTGTACGTGTATGTGTGTCTGAGTATCTATATGTCTGTGTGTATATATGTTTAAAAAAGGGTCGAGATGGACGTACTGAATCGTACAAAAGAGTTAAGCGACGTCCTTGTGTGATCTCCCTTGTCACAAGACAAAGTCGATGATATATATTATAATATGAGGCAGTGTGGTGACATCAGGCTCTCGTCAAAAATAATCAAAGTAAAGAAACTGGCATTTTCCGCAGGTTTGGAAATTTTTATCGAATTATTGTGTTTTGGCTCAACACCTTTCATGCCCACTAAAGAACAGCTGTGAGGATTTTACTGAAAACCGTTGATTAAAGGCACTCAAAAAATGTAATTTTCAGTTTCCACGGACTCTCAAGCTAAGAAATTACTAAGCTTTAAGGGCAATTTTCTCACAAATTTTACCCCTGAAGCCAGGTGACCCGCACCTTCTTCATTCACCAATATCGAGACTTGTATTCCAGATAAATGGATATTTTTTCATCAAAAGAAAGACAAAAAAATATGGTTTAGGATGATACCAATAACTCTACTCTAATAAATTAACGATTCCACCGCCCCTTGACACATATTATCATACGGTACATATGTTTGTATACCCCTCGGATATTTTACGTAATACCACACGTAACATGTAACAACTCACAATTAATTACACCAACGCCAGCTTTATTAGTATATTATTAGTATATTATTAGAGTAGGTGTTGACTTACACCACTGCTGCAATATGTCCCGCTTTCACCCTATGCCCACCAGACGCTCCAGCTGTTGTTATGGTAACCATGGTGGACTGGAAGGTGATTCCTCAGACGCTACTGCTGATGCTGGCTTGTGCGGTAAGCCGGGGCTCACGTGTAGACAGACAAGCAGACAGACACACAGACAGACAAACAGACAGACAGACAGACAGACAGACAAACAGACAGGCAGGTAGGCAGGTT